TTCACTAAGTTTTAAGTTTTTGCCGTTATTGAAATGTAATTGGGAAAAGATCTTATTTTTCTTTTTTTCAGTTAAAACCTGCAAATTTCTCCCTCTTATTTATACAAAATATTAAAACATCAATATTTTTCTCTTGAGGCCAGATTCTGCTGTTTTCTAAATCAGCATAAATTCGGAGTAATTCTGCCTTTAGTGCTCACTGGATGGAGGAATAATGTGGAGGCTGTTCCGTCAGTTCCTGTTAACGAGCCTTTATTTGTCCCTTGGCTCCAGGGTTTTATTTGTGCCCATACTGCCCCTGGGCACTCGAGTGGCAGTAGTGCTCAAGCACCGTTGGCCCCATCAGTATTTGGAAAGGGGTCTTGAACCATTTGGGGTTCCTTTTGGGTCAGACCTCACCACATCCATGCTGGGGCCACCCCGGGGATAGCCTGTCCCAGTGCCCTCTAACTGGGGCAATGCTTTCAAGCCATTCAGAAATTGCAGGCAGTGCCCCCAAGAGCAGTCTTTCTTGGAGCACATTTTTGCTCTTGGATCCACACGAGGTCCTAACTGGCTTCTGTGGGGAAGCTGGAAAAGCTGGCATTGATTGATTAAAGTGGTACGTGCTTTTGGTCCTGGCTGCCCAGGGTCTGTGCTGCTCTTCCTGGGCACGCTCCCCCAGCTGACGTCACGCAAGGTGCCTGAGCCCAACAGAAGCAGGGACTGCAGCGCTCGGGGGAAGGCTGGGCCACCCCTTTCACCAGACCTAAACCCAACCTCCCCCCCGCCCACACCTGGGTGAGATATTGCCTCCTCTTTCCCCCAGCATGAACCCTTATAGGCGTAATGGCTGGAGGAGCCCAGTGGAGGCTCCAGGCTCTTCCGACTCGGCCAGAGCCAAGATCTTGGTGAACCAGAGAACTGTGAAATTTTGACTGGACCTTCTCTGTGTGGGGGCTTTTTGGTCCAGCCCTCGTCCTCCTCCCTCCCTCATTCTGCATCTGTTTAGACCAGGGGTCAGTGTGGGCTAAATCTGGCCTGCAGAGCCTTCAGATCCAGCCTGCGGATGTAGGACTTGGCTGGCAAGAGGCATCATCCACGAGCGCTCTCCTTGTGCTGCTGCGGGGAGAAGTGCGGGCCGAGGGCATTCTCCCCGTGCCATCAGGGAGAGGAATGGCAGTGGCAGCAGTGTCCCACCGCCTGCCGACCTCCAAACGGGGTGGGTCATTCCCATCCGTGGCCAGAAAAGATTGCTCACTCCTGGTTTAGACAGTTCGACTGAGGTGCTCTGGACAGGAGGTATCTGCTTTTTGGTGTTTGCACTGGGTCTAGATCAATGGTCCCCATTCTTAGCGGGTCCTTGGCTGATGGATCTTTAGCTATGAAACACCTTTCCCTCCTTGGTCCTCCGCAGCCTAGGATGGGTGGTGTTCAGGACCCACTGAGATCCACCAGTTTTTTTAAGGGAGGAGATGTGCCTTAAGCAGATGAGTGGGTTGGTTGTTTGGTTGCAGAGGTAGTTTCCTAGTTGGTAGGGTCGGAAGGGACCTGAGCAGATCATTAAGTCCAACCCCTGCCATGGGTAGGAATGAATGCTGGGATCAAACGACCCCGGCTAGGTGATTGTCCAGCCTCCTTTTGAAGACCCCCAGGGTAGGAGGCAGCACCAGAGTAGGTCTGGAAGTTGGTTCCAGATCCTAGCTGCCCTGACTGAAGTAGCGCCTCCTGATGTCTAGCCTGGACCTACTCTCAGTCAGCTTATGGTCATTATTCCTAGTTACACCGGGTAGTGCTCTGGGGAACAGGGACTCTCCTGTTTCCCACCGGTCCCCCGGTTAAGTTTATAGACGGCCACTAGATCCCCCCTCAGCCTTCTCTTGTGAAGGCTGAACAGGTTCAGGTCCCGTAGCCTCTCCTTGTAGGGCCTGCCCTGCTGCCCCCTGATCATGCGAGTGGCCCTCCTCTGGACCCTCTCCATGCTGTCCACATCCCTCCTGAAGTGCAGTGCCCAGAACTGGATGCAGTACTCCAGCTGCGGCCTGACCAGTGCCGCGTAGAAGGGGAGGATCACCTCCTTGGCCCTGCTCGAGATGCATCTGTGGATGCATGACAAGGTGCGGTTGGCCTTCCTGACTGCATCCCCACGCTGCCGGCCCATGTTCATCTTGGAGTCAGTGATGACTCCAAGATCCTTTTCCGCCTCTGCACTGCCGAGAAGGGAGTTCCCCAGACTGTAGGTATGGTGCTGTTCCTTCCTCCCCAGGTGCAGCACCCTACACTTGTCAGTGTTGAATCTCATCCTATTCTCGTCCGCCTACCCCTGTAACCTGTCTAGGTCCGATTTGCAGCTTATTGCTCCCTTCTAGCATACCCACATCTCTCCACATCTTAGTGTCATCTGCGAATTTAAACAGGGTGCTTTTTACTCCCTCGTCCAAGTTGCCGATGAAGATGTTGAACAGCGCGGGCCCGAGGACCGAGCCCTGGGGGACCCCACTGCCCACATCCCTCCAGGTTGAAAATGACCCATCCACCACCACTCTGTGTGCAGCCCTCCAGCCAGCTAGTGACCCATCTGGCCGTGTAGGCATCAACGCCACAGTTGCCAATTTTTTAATGAGAATGAGGTGAGGGACAATGTTGAAGGCCTTCCTAAAGTCCAGAAAGACTACGTCCACCACGACACCTGCGTCTAGGGATTATGTAACCTGGTCATAGAAGGCCACCAGGTTGGTCTGACAGGACCTGCCCCTGATGAACCCGTGTTGGTTGCCCTTGAGCATCATCTCCCCTGCTGGCCCCTCGCGGATTGGTGACACTGAGTTGTTAATTCTGCTTGGATTTGGAAGGAGTTTTTCACTGCTAAGAGAAATGGCTGCCTGTCTGTATAGGTACTTATTTGGCTGTCATCAGTGTAGTATCCAGGCCCCCTCATTTAGGTATCTCATCTTTCTGTTAACAAGTACATCTCTGTAATCCTTTGAGTGGACCTAAAGTCTAAAAGGGGAGCAGTAATACAAAAGAAGTGCAAAGAAGGGAGCCAAAATGAGTCAGTTGGAGGCAGTGCCTTCTGCTGTCCTTTTTAAGGAAGCTTCTAGAGAGTTGGAGGGATACGTATGGGAGTCTGAGACCTTGCTGTGCTGTTTCCAGATGTCTCATGTGGCTTGGTTACAGTAGTGCTTACATGAACAGTTAGTTTTCCAGAACTGTAATTGCAGCACTCAGCTCACCTCTTTGCATTTCTGACAGCCTGTTAATGTACTGCAGTGGGCTGTGCTCTTACTGCAGTGCAGGAGCTAAGTTAGCTGTAGAAATGCTTTGCTTGCTGAATTTCTTAGGAAAGCTTTTACCAGGTGAAGAAGGATATTCTTTAATTGCTTCTTAGAGAACCTGTTCTTTTTGATGATAATTTGCCCATATGCAGCTTATTTCTTCCAAATGGATTCCAAAGGCTTTGACAGACTACTAGGGCGCTTTTATATGTGCTCCGGGGGGTGGCACTTTTTAACAGCACTCATTAAAGTGCTGCAGCGTCTCACGTACCGGTTTCCCTGCGCTTCAAACTGGCAGCAGGGGTGCTTGAACTAAAGCTCATCAAATGAGCATTTCTCATTTCAGTGTTCAAGCATTCCTGACACACAAGATGCAGAGGCTGGCTGGACCGCAGTAATTACCATGCTGCAGCAGACTCAACTAATCAACTCTGCTCCGACACACTGTAATTACAGCGCGCTGGAGCAGCCTCTGCGCTTGTGTATAGGCACCCTTAGGTGCAGCTTCTCAGGATTTTCTCACCATTGGGTGCATCTACATGTTCATTAATGCACTTTTGCTGCTGCACATTAAATTTAGTACTTCTAATGTGAGGTAATAACTAAATGCACATTAGGCTGCCCTAATGCGCAGTAGAAAAAGTGCGTGCTTTTTTTAGTGACACTTAATGCACAGTTGCTTAATAATACTGCGTATTAGCGGATTAGCACAGTTTTTGCTGTGACGCTCTAATGCACAGTAAAATAGGCTATTGTGCACTTAAAGCTCACATGTAGACATGCCCACTGATACAGGACCATCTCTGGGGCAGAATATGGTCAGCAGTGCCAAAGTTAGACCTGGACCAGGAAATAACAGTCCAGATCCCCCAGTGCAGACTCAACATGTCTAGTTGGATCTTTAATGGCCACTTGAAGTCAACACCCCGTGCTGTGGGATTAAGAGGATGGGCAAGATTTACAATAGGATTTGGGCATTCAGATTTTCACCAGAAAAACCTCCCACCACCTTGGTTGACCTGAGCCACTCCACATGTCTCCTGGCTAGGGTAATTTGGGATCAGTGCCTAGCTGTCCCTGCACCTAAGTCCCCAGAGGGCCGGAGCCCAGTAGGCATTGTCAGAGTACGTCTAGGATCAATTGACATGTAGCGTGGACAATTCAGCGCTCGTCTTTTATTCAAAACTTTGTTGAAGTGGTGGCAACCTTTTATAATAACCTAATGGTTGGAGCCCTTTCCCAGCATGTGGGAAACCTGATTTCTAGGCCCTCCTTGACCTGAGGTGGTTCAAACGCACATTTTTTTCTCCTCTCTATCCTATCCTATGTGATTTCGGTGAGCAACCTGATAAGTAGGAAAAAAAAATCATGTTTTCTCCTGATAATTATTCATGATAGGTTAGAGTTAAATTACTCCGGTCACCTGATACTGATGCACTGTGTCTAACAGTCTCTGTAATTTTGGTCTTGGGAGGTCTTGCATTTCAAATGGGAACAACTTCGCACAGTTTCTCTGGGAACACTTTCTGTAGCAACCTTCAGAAGCATGTGGGGCAGATTTACAAAGGTATTAAAGCACTTAATGATGCTGTCTAATGGGATTCCTCAAAGAACTTAAGAAAGTTAAGACCTAATTTCCACTGATATCGATACCTTTGTAAATGGGCCTTGTATTGGCATAAGCGGAGGCTTATGCGAAGGTGTGACTGCATTCTCCAGCCTCACCAGCTCCTTTGTCTCCTGCAGGCTCCTGCTTCTGGGTGGCCGTGCTGGACGGAAACGTGGTTGGAATTGTGGCTGCGAGAGGCAACGAGGAAGACAACACGCTGGAGCTGCGCCGCATGTCTGTAGACTCCAAATACCGCGGCAAAGGGATTGCCAAAGCCCTGGGCCGCAAAGTGCTGGAGTTTGCCATGCTCAACAACTACTCTTCTGTCGTACTGGGAACCACGGCTGTGAAGGTGGCAGCCCACAAGCTGTATGAGTCCTTGGGGTTCAAACACGTGGGCATCGTTGAACACTACACCCTTCCCGGGATGACACATTCCTTACTAGAGAGAGTGTTTTTCCAGCTTCGCTACCACCGCTACCGCCTGCAGCTGCGTGAAGAATAAAAACAAAACCGCAAAAATATTTTCCTCTTCCCCCCTCCAAAACAAAACCGACCTTGTGGTTTTATTTTATTTTATTTTATTTTTCATCATTTTTTTTTTTGCCAATTTTGTTGAGTTTGTTTCCTCATTTCATTTTTAATTTGCTTTGTACAGCTTGATTGTACAAAATAAGGATCCTTCCTCGCATGCTGTAGGGTGGTGGTGCTGATGCTGGAAGTACTGCTCTCCTAATGCATACCCTGTTCATGACCTGGCGGGTCAGAGTGAACCTACAGCCTATTGTTCCAGTCCTACCCAGGTACCTACATAAAGCACAGAAACTTAAATACATAACCATACCGCTGGTCTGGTGTACAGTTTTTGTTTTTTGTGGGGGTTTTTTTCTTTTCCAATATAAGATAACGTAGTGATGGCATTCATGCTAGTGCAGAAATATTACTTGAATGCATTTCTGAGTATTTCACGCACCAGTACGTAGAATAGGTATTCATCTTCCCGTAAATTACTGGTTAATAGTTTTCAAAGAAAATGTGAAAAACAAAACAACCCGCTTGCTACAATGCATGAAGAGGAAGTGTGTGCACGCACTCAAACACACGGCACTGCCAACAAGGCACTGGTGTTGCACTTTTTTGGATGTGCCTCATGCTGCCAAATGTCTGAAAGAACCTTGGTGCATCCAATAACCATGACTTTTTCTCCATTCTCATTCTCCTTCCTAAGCCAGCAAACAGACTTGACCCATCTGAACTCTGAGCCCCATTGTAACATATTATGAAGTAAGATCAAACCTAAATATCTCCTGCGCTGTTCTATATCCGTGCATCACCTGCACTCCTGGGCCAGACTTCCGCATGTGCATTGGAGTTTCTCTTTGCTGCCTTCTGGTTTATTTTGGTTGGGTGTTTTTTTTGGGTTTTTTTTTTTAATTAATGTTTTGTTTTGTTTTATTTTTTAGTTTTGGCTTTTGCTGAGTGGTGTCATTGAAGCATAATGGAGGCTGCAGTTCCTATGGCAACACATTTGCACATTAATGTGTCCACCAAATCTGAACACTTTAGAAAAGCAGTGTGTGACAGATAATTGCATTTTGGGAACATTGGGATGGGGGGGACACATACATATTATCTTAACCAGCTGCTTGTTCGATAAACATAGATGGCCTCACTGCAGCCTTCCATAAAAAATAATTAGCTGCTTTAATGATGTCACATTTGTGAATTGTACAATGCAAAAAGCAATGCAAAGCAGATTTGGCATGTGTCTGTACCTAGTATGTATGTACAGTGCCTGCCAACAAATGAATAACCAAGACTACAGCTTCTTCTAGCCTGAAATATCAATTTTTATAACTTATTTAAGCAAATAGCAACTTTGCATGAATTGTCTCGGGTGGGGTGGGGGGGGACGCAGTAGGTTATTTCTAAAATGTGTTATCAGAAATAGACAAACCATTTCTAGCTGCACTTAACTCGGGGGTGGGTGGAAGGTTTCAGCTATCTTATTCAATTTAAAGGGAAACCCCCTTTCACTTAGTTCCTGGAAAAAAATGTTACCGTTCTATGAAGTATAATGCGCGTGAAAAAAATGTATCACAATGAAATCAACAAGGGAGAGAACTATGTTAATCACACTTGTACTTAGAAATACAACAGAAGCATCTAGGTAGAAAGGAGAGTTTCAGGGAGGAGGGGAGTGTTAATGCAGGGAGCAAATGTTATTTTCCAAACAGATATTGGAATCAAATAAATGGGGAATCATAGAGAATGAAAGCAGGAGCGCTTAAAAAGCTTGACAGGCGGAAGATGAGACACATGTAAGTAATACTGTAGTGTTGAAACCAAAAAAAACCCCTCTCCCTTTGTTTCCAGCTGAGAGTGCTTCCAGCACTGAGATTTACCAGCGTGAAGGCCTGGAGGACAGTCGCTTGTGACCGGCTGGCACTGCTCAGTGCCATACCATCACAACTCTCCCTGTACAGGGACGCCCGGGAAAGTTGAGACAAATCAACCAGAAGTGTGCAAGTGTTTTCCTTGACTCCTAAATGAGTGCATCCATGCACTCTGCGGCACGTGAGGAGGCTGGATTGGGTGAGAATTAGCAGTGTGCCGGCCACCCCCTGTCACTCCCCGTCTGGGCGCTGTTCAGCTGCAGCGAGTGGAAGGCAGCTGACTCGACTTTAAAAGTAGAACAAGCTGCCTTGCTCAGTGCAATGAATGGGCCTGCACGGGGCATAGCTAGCACCTTGCAAATTGTCACTCAGGCTTATGTGGCAGTAATTTCATCACGTAGATAAGCCCCTGTGCATACTGACTGCACACTGTTGGCTTGTTTGCCTTCACTTGTCCACGCGTCACCATGTAAACAGGCCCTCCTCCTGCCAGAGCGAGTGTCTTTGAGAACTCTGATTTACCAGCAGCATCTCTGCAGGTCCCCTTTCAGCAAGGGAAAAAGCCTGTACTTGCTTAGCAAATGTTAATGAGAGGAGGAGGGCAGTCTTCCCAGGAGAGCAATTGTGGAGCTGCTGAAAGGATGTGGGCTCCAATCTCCAGAGCCCAGCCCTTTCACCCCTGAGCTGGAAGGGAGGAAAAAAGAAATCGCAGCCTCCTTCTCCCATGCAATCCCAGAACAAGAAGTGAAGTCAAGGCAATAAATGCAGGCACAGCCTTATCAGGGCAATCTGAAAAAATATTCTGTTGATCAGTTGACCCTCTCAGTGCTGGATTGCTACCTGTCTCAGTGTATACCATGCACAAAGCAGCAGTGTCCTGTGATATATTGTCCCAGCAATAAAGGGAGAAAATTGAGAATGGAGGGCACTCTTTCAAGAAACCATGAGTAATGAACAATATTTCTTTGTGGGCACTATATTTTTTAAAGTCTTTCTATGCTGAACATTTCTCCAAAAGCCAAAATATATACTGTTGGTAGGGGTTTTTGTATAGTGTACAGAAATTGGCATAATATTTTCTTGCTGCTTCAAGTGATTTATTAGCCGGAGTAAAATAGACAAATACAAAGTGTTAGCAAAAGTGAAAGAAAAGAACAAAACAGTTTGTGCCTTTTTAGTTTATTTTTTCTGTTGCTGTATAGTCGCTGCACTAAACCTTTTCCAGAAAATAAAAATAACTAATCTCTTAACAAAGGGGGAAATACATGAAGCTGAAACCAAGCGCTTAATTTTTTTATTGGGGTATTTAATTAAAAGAATGTTGCTGGTTTTATTTGATACTTGTGCCTTTGTAGTATGCCTCATTCATACCGATGAGATAAGCCAAAACAGGTACAAAAACCATTCTATCCCAGAGTCAGACACACTGGTCTGTCACCACCACTTCCAAAGCTGGTTAAAATGTAACGGGTGGGTTATGACTGCATCTCTGATCATGACACCTTGGGAGCTGCATAAAAGAGGTGTGTTGTTATAACATGCAGCTTGCAAAGTGCTATGGTATCGCTATACTTCTAAGTGCACGGGGGGCACAGGAATCAAGATGCTGCCACTCAGGCGTTTGTTGCTGTGTGACTTTGTCTTTACTGCCTTTGTGATTTCTCTCCTGCTCTGTGACAAGTGTGCTTGGAAAATTCAATTTGGTCATCATACCAGGAATCCCAGCTGCCTGTCCTTTCCCTCACATTTAATCTCCTAAAGAAAGGACATACTGTTAAATCTTTCCATCTCTTTTTTTTTTTTCTCAGTGATGACAGCAGATGAGTTAGTAGAGCTCTACTAACCTGAGCTTTGTCCTAGGCTATCATGGTTGGACATCTCCTACTGTTGTACTAACTCCAGTGAGAATACTGATGTAGACCAGGCTCAGGCACTTTTACTGCTGTTGGCTGGATTTGCTGTGAGTTGGATTAGACACCTCCATGGCTAAAAAATACCTGAGCCTCCTGCAGCATCTTATTTGTTGGACTTGCTCTGGCGGGAAATTTTGCAAAGCCTGTTTATGTTGGTACAGGCTTGGAGGTGGATCATCCTTGCATGTTCTGTAGAACATGCTTGTCCTTCCTGCGAGGGAGCCCAGGCTCAAGTTGCACTGTCTCCTAGTCTGGCTATGCTGCAGGCTGCAAGATCATGTAGAGAAACCCAGGTAGGTTTAAATGAGCTGACTAGGAGCACTCCAGCCTGGCCAGTGCAGAGTTCAGCCCGGCACTCTTGGTGGGGCAGTTTAGCCCCCATAGAGCCGGGTGCTGTCATGGCCAGATTGGTTTTGCTCTCGGTACTGGTTCATTCATAACTAGCTTGGGCATCTCCTCACTGCACTGCAGTCTGCAGTGTAGGCAAATCCTGAGTCTGTGTAGGCAGGGCAAGCTGAAGGGTTTTTCCATTCTGTCCATCCATCGCCTCTATGTTACCTATGTACATAGCTCTGCAAAAGGCTTCCACAGGTCCTGTCTCTGCACAAGTCCTGGAACTCCTCCGATGTGCAGCTTCCCAGCAGGGACAGGACACAGGTTTGCTGTCCATCTCTCCTTTGCTGCTTCTGGACCTCCCGCTGCTTCTGGACAGAGACTGCTGAGGGGACCACGCAAGCCCTGGCAGCTGGTACTTCAGCTCTGGCACAGAAGTGCATGGAGGGCAGTACGAAGAGCTCAGGGACGCACCATTTGAAGGCGACAAGCAGAAGAGCTGCTAGAGGATCTTCCCAGCGGTTCTCTGCAGCTCTGGTAGGAAGGCCAAATGCGTATGAAATAAGGGACAATGTTAAAGATGAACTGAGCCGTTCTCCATGTCTGTTGCCACTCCCTGTGCTGAGTGTGGGCTGTGGGTGGCACTGAGGGACTGGCAGTTGCGTGACCCCGTACACAAGCGCCAGACTGCCAGCCCCATGTGGGAATGCTGGGATTCTTGTGACAAGAGTTGGGATTTTTATTGTAATTTGGTTAATTGGATGGCTGGTGGAACGACATCCAGCTGAGCTGGAGCTGTGTGCTTTGACTGGCAGGAGACCTTTCAGCTACGGGACTGGCATCTGCAAACAAATGCGTCCTCCCTGGTCCCTACCCACATCTGCCCTGGCAGCTTCCTAGCTAATACGTTCTATGTCCATGCTTCTTTTTCACTGATTTGCTGATCTTTAAAATAGTTTCCCTGCCTGAGCCCTTATCTTGCAGTGAGCTTCACTTAGGTGAATACCTGGATGGAGCTGACTGGGATCAGTGCTGCGGCACCCCCTGCCCTGCTCCCCAGCAGAGCCAGGGCCTGTGATCTCTTCTTACAGGTTTTTCAGAGAAAACAGGAAACATTTCAGTTACGAGTCAAGGCTCAACCTTGTCCATGGCCCAGGTCCCCCTGGGCACCACCTGCGCTGTCCTCTGTGAAGCTAGTAAGAGTTATGTGTGCGCATCTGTGAGAACCAGGTCCTTGGGGCCTGCTGAGGCCACCGTGCACCTTTGATCAGTTATCCCAGGTTTTAGGTTGGCTCCGTAGTGCTCTTGGCCTTGCTTAGTAATGCTCAATGGCTAAAGCAATTAGCAACAGGGTTTCAGACTTTAGTGAGGCCTCTTGAACTAGTGGTTGCCACAAATTCATGCCTTGGTTTCTCTGATGAAGTGGTCTGCACCTGCAGGCAGCTTAGAAATGGCAGCTGTAATTCACCTCCACTTTGAAGTGTGCTCCACAGTGCTGTGCCATAGGCATGTTCCAAGCACTGCGTGGAGAGAAGTGGCACTGGGCTTTGCTTGGGTCCTGTTGCTACAGGGTGTGGACAATATGTTTCAGTACCTCTTTAGCACTTCCCAGGTCTCTACCTGCATGCAAGACTGTGATCCCTTCTGGGTGCAGTCCTACCTATGGTGTCAGTAGAGGACACTCCACCTGACTTAAAGAATGCCAACATTGTGACTATCTTCAAGAAAGGGGACACGTCAGTGTGTGGGAACTACCGAGGCATTGCCTTCCTCTCTGTTGCCGGGAAGATTCTTACTTGCATCCTTCTGAATCTCCTCCTCCGCCTTGCCGAAGATGTCCTTCCAGAATCCCAGTGTGGCTTTAAACCATCATGGGTACCACCAACATGATTTTTGTTGCACGACAGATCCAGGAGAAGAGTAGAGAGCAACACCAAGAGCTGTTTATAGCATTCATTGGCCTAACCAAGGCCTTTGACTCCATCAATTGTGAAACCCTATGGAAGTTGCTGGATAGGTTTGGTTGTCTGCTGATGTTCATCAGTGTCCTCAGGCTGCTCCATGGTGGGATGACCACGACAGTCCTCTGCAGTGGATCAGAGACTGGTGTCAAGCAGGGCTGTCATCACCTCAACCTTTTTCTCCATCTATCTTGCTGCAATTTTGAATCTCATCCATGACTGCCTTCCTCCCAGAATTGGGTTGGAGTATCAAATGGACAGTCAGCTTTTCAACCTGCAGTGCCTCCACATCAAAATGAGCGTTACCAAGACTGGCACCACCAACCTTCGGTACACTGACGACTGTGTTATCCTTGCACACACTGTGGCCAATCACCCTTGACCTTTTTTTAGGTGCCTATCATAGCCTGGGACTCTCCCTTAATATTAGGAAGACCAAGGTGCTCCATCAGCCTGCCCCAGCACAAGCTTCCCCCCTCTCCCCACAAATTACCATTGGTGGAGACCCCCTGGAAAACGCCAAGCATTTCCCATACCTTGGCAGCCACCCAGTCAGTCTTGATGCAGAAATGAAACCTGGGATTTGCTGTGCCAGCATATCCTATGGAAAGCTGCTTTGCCATGTCTTTGCTGACTGAGATCTACAGATTGAAGCTAAGAACCTGGTCTGCAATGCAGTGGTAATCCCTACGCTGCTATGGGTGTGAGACGTGGGTGATGTATTGGAGCCACTTTAAGCACCTGGAATGGTTTCATCAGCGCTGCCTCAGGAAGAGCCTTTGCATTAGATGGGAAGACCACTGCACCACGGCCAGCATCCTCTTTGCAGCTAATATAACCAGCATTGAGGCAAAGATCAAGAAACAACAATTCTGCTGGGCTGGGCACAGTGTGGATGGCTGACACTCATCTCCCAAAGCAAGTCCTCTTCCCTCAACTCAGCCATGGTAAGAGGACCCGCAGGGGACAGAGGAAGAATTACAAGGACACCCTGAAAGCATAACTTAAGAAGGGTGGCATCAGCCTTATAAACTGGGAAGTGCTGGCTGGTAACAGGTCTCAATGGCACTGCAGCATACATCGAAGACAACTGTCTTGCTCAGGAAGCCAAGAAATAGCCGAGGAAGAAGCAAAGCCCACAATATCTTGGCCAACAGCTGTGCCCTCTCGCCATCCCCCAAAGCAACACCTGTCATCTGCGGAAAGACTTGCAGAGCACCAATTGGACTCTTCAGCCATCTTAAAATGCACCAATAATTTCCCCTGCACCCACGGCAGATGTCATCCTCGTATCGAGGGACAGCCGAAGAATGTGTTTCAATACCTCTGTAGCACTTCCCAGGTCTCTACCTGCACACAAGACTGTGAGCCCTTCTGGGTGCAGTCCTACATAAGGTGTAATAAGATTTGACAGTATCGCCTTTCTGTACATCTATGACATGAAACTTGTTTTAACTGGGAATAAGTTTTCCTTCCAAGAATCAAGTCTGTGAATAATCTGCAGAGCCTCCTCAACTGACTTTTTAAAAAATTGCTAATTGGAAAATACACGTCAGTTGATTACTCAAAGATGCATGGTTTTAAAGTAAGTATGTGTGTAGCAACCTGGAATTCAGTGTAGAATAATAGACAACGAGGGCTAGAAGGGAGCTCAGGAGCTCATCTAGCTCGAAGTGGCACCGTGCCCAACTAGATCATTCCAGCCAAGGCTTTAAGATAGACCTTAATCTCCAAGGACAGAGATTTTACCACCTCCCTGGGTTACCCCGTTCCAGTGCTTCACCACCCTCTTAGTTGGGATGTTTTTCCTAATGCCTAAACTTCCCTTGCTGCAACTTGAGGCCATTGCTCCTTGTTCTGTCACCTGCCATCACTGAGAACAATGTAGCTGAACCTTGTCCAGAGCCGAATGGTTTTTGATTGGTAGTTTGTACAGTTACAGGATGAAGCTGTTTTTAAGAAGCACTTGTTTGAAACAAAAACATGAATGTACCAAAATGTGAAATGTAAAATATTGTAATGATGGCTGATGCACCTGGGATCTGAACGGGTAACAGCATTGACTTTATTTGTGCTAAACTCCACATAAAAACAGTGTGCGAACTGTACTGCATCAGTGTCAATTTGCTGCAAAAATACTGTATACTTGAATCCAAAGTACAATGTATAGCTAATTCGTGTGAAACTAGTCCAATATTCCTCGAAAGGAGCAACAGACAAACTGCCCTTCTTGTCTGTGCTGTTGCTTTACTATCTGTAAAGTGGGGAAAATCAGGTTTCCTTTGGTAAAGTTCTTTGAGATCTAGAGTGATCCAACATGTATGAGAGGGGCAGGGATCTTATAGGGTGCTCATGAGGTCCAAGCCTATCCTGGGATGAAAATTTTCCTGTTGACTTCAGTGGGAGTGGAAGATGCTCAGAAGGCAAGATCAGGCCTTTACAACCTCTTCATACTGCCGCTGCAGCAGTGACAGCGTTCCCATCCACGTCAGTGCGAGAAGCATCAGGCCCCATCTGATCCAGAACAATATTGTCCATGAAAATTGGTTGCTGAGAGGTCTCAGCAAAATTAAGACTTAACAAAAAATAACTGTCCTTACTGTTGCCCTTCGCACCACTGAGCCTAATCCGTGCATGATCTCTTTCTTCTGCCTTTGATTTGCCCAGAGCTTATGGCTGAAATGCAGATGAATAGATAGATAAACCCTCGCTGCAAGGTTTTTAGAATTGCTAAATACACAAGGGCAAGTGCCAGCTCCAGTTACCTCTGAATTAACAATCTACTTTTAAATTTGCTGTGAGCCTGAGTTCCAGGAGAGCCTGGGATAATGCTGCTGGTATGCACAGTCTAAAGTCTAATAAAGGCATTTCAGTTCCAAGCTAACTGGAGTGCTGTGGTTGCATACAGTTTGCCACCTAAAGAAAAATGAATGGATGTGAGCTATTCAGTAAGCTTACAAGTGCAAAAGGCTGAAATCTCCCCCTTTTTTTGTCCTCGAGCTATATCCACTTGGAACCTTGTGCAGAGAAATCGATGCCCTTGTGCTTGTAACCAAAGGGTTTTTACCTCACCTCAGTAAGAGGATGTGCATGTAGAGATTATTTTCCTAGCTTGTGCCATGGAAAGACTGTTGCCTGAATGAGCTTTCTAAGCATCTTTCACCAAAACAAAAGTAAGTGCGAGTGCAATGTGCACAACACAGAGTTGAGTTGCAATAGGCCGTTTGTCACTTAAAACAGTAAGCTAGAAGTCAGTATTTGGAGTGTGTGAATGTACTGTTCAGTGTTTGCTTTGTTTTACCTGATGGTTGGTTTTCGGGGGAGGAAAGAAGTTATTGTGAATTGTAAAAGATGGGAAGTCACTGAAAGCAACAGTGTAACAAATACACCATGCTGCTGTACATTACTTTATAAGCAATGCGTTTAAATGTGTGAGCAGCTACTGCTGTGTGAGCTTATCCAACTTACAGCTAACATTGTTTCCAATTTCCTTTAGTCCAAAGCCAAGTTTAATGATTTGACTTGTGCTGTGTATATTTCTTTTATTTTACAGTTGGGGTCTAACAAGAGCATCCCCTGCTTTATGTGTTGTACTTATGATTGTGCTGGGCAATTAGCTTTAAGCAGTTTGATGTGCGCTTGCGTTATTTTATTAAGGCAAAAGCCTTCTTGAGCCTAACGCTGTTAAGATGAAATCACTTCTTTGTAGTGTTGACCAGGTCGCGTGGTGTGCGTTTGCAAAGACCGAAATGAATGGGGCTATAGCTCTTAGCAAAACTGCTAGTGTCTGAGCCTGTGCTCTGTGTACAAGTTATGGGCTACAAGACTTAACCTGTACCTAAGTGGAAATTCAGATTCGTTGTGCATCGTCACAATTGTACAAGACCAGTGGGAAATGAGTCTTGTGCTTTCTGTGCTCAGCATGGTAGGTACTATGGGGCTGGACTAGATGACTCGTATGTACTGTACTTTGTAATGGGAAGCAGCTGCAGGTCCTCAAAGAAATAGTCTCCTATGAACATACCTTAAAACAGCAATAATAACCACTGCAGAGAAATGAGTATGTCTGGTAGGCAGGAGGAGGGTGGGGAAAGAACTCATGAAAATACGGTTATGAACACGCTGGCAATCATCACGTGCTGCTATTGTTAAGTGGGGAACAGAATTAGTACTATAATGGGCCATTGGGTCTATGTGACTTGGGTTCAGATTTGAAGTGAGCTTGTTGATGCACCCACTTAAAGCCTCTTTAAATCTCCAAAGTTCATATACAGGGCATTATCTTTGTAGTAAAATGCGATAGAACAAGTTACAGCAAGTCAGGACGGCCCATTCAGCAGATAGACGAGAGCACTCTCGAAGTAGCACGGAAGTAACCATCTGGTTCTGCAACCTCTTAACGCAGTGTAAACTACGGCTGACTCGGCAATAGCAGAAAATAGGATACACGACTGTACTTTTCCTCTGGCAGCAAACAATTGGCACTCTTGGAAACATTTGAAAACTCTCCACATGTATTGATTCAGACCAGTTACCACAGCACGTCAGGACATGCTATATATGCAAGTTACTCCTCCGTACATTTAGGCATTTGAGTTCCAACCTATAAACTGCTAGTCTCAGTGTAGTGACCACTACTCAACTTCCGTTAGCAGAATACTGAAACACTACGTCCAGTCAGCTCTTAAATAAATGCAGTGTGTCTGCAGGAAGAGTCCAGGGAGGTACTGTAAATGAATGACTTGTAGGTACTTAAGTTCTGTTCCTGATGGCCGCTGTAACTGTGAAAATTAACCAGACCTGCTGTGATAAATTTGGTTATATAAGGTTTATTTGGTTAATTTTTTATAAGTGAAAACTGAAAAGATGAAAGAGAATTGTAATATGAAAGCGACTGCTGTAAATAATGTATGAATGAATAAAATCTAAAACTTATGTCAGATTTTTCCTAAACTGCATTGCAGTCACATTACTGCCTCTCTCCCTGGAGTGTGTGCGGAGTGCGGGGGGGCTCAGAAACTCCTTGGCGGTTGTTAGCCCTGGGTGCACTGCTGCCAGATCTGTCATTGCTCTTCCTCTTGGCAGATGGGAAGGATTTTAACGCGTGTCCTGCATGCCTCAGTTCAGCCTCCCCATGCAGTTATGGCTTGCTGATTAATGCACTCACGTGCAGAAGGGCAAGTATTCCTGGAGATAGATGTGTACTAAATACAGAGCTGCAGCCAGGCTTTGCGCTCACACAAGATTACAGCCTGCCAGCACAGGCGGTGCGTGTGACAGGACTAGCTCTGACTCGCATATAATAGGCAGGAAGTGCTGCTTCCTCCGCTCTTGCACACTCCCATGGAAACTGCCAAAGAGGCTGACCCACCCCAATGGGAAGCCAGTTTATTGTGCCACACACCAGAGTCACTAGGAGAGAGCATCCCTCTGGCCAGCCGCAGCGCTCGAGTCTCTGGCCCCTGGCCCTGTAAATGTATTTGCCTTTGCACTCCTGCTGCCTTGGTAAAATGGGCTGATTGCAACAACTATCAGTGAGGAATTGCTCTGCACAGCACTGAAATGAAATCCCTGCTTAACTGCTACAGCCTGAATCACCGAATTGCAGGAAGCTTGTCACTGAGCCTATATGGATGAGCAGATTGTTGGAGACATGCAGTGATGACTGTTGTGAC